CACAAAATTACAGCACGTTGTAAACTTATGGGGTTACCCCGCCATCTAAATTCAATCACAACAACAGACCAATCATTGATACTTCCGGTAACACTAATAATAGCACATGTCACCTATGAAGTTTCCATTCTAAATGAATCTATGAATTTTACACAAGCTCTGCAATATCTATTGTTTTCAAATATGTTACGTATGGGTTAAGTCAGAACTAAAACTGATAATGTATTTTATTCAATGTCACCTAATGTGAATGCGGGTTGGTACAGACAGCACCAGGAATACGTGTATGTGAACAACAGACTAAACGGGAACGTAAAGCCCATCCACATCATCCGTGCCAAAGATTGGATGGTATAGGCAAGATGAATTAAAACAGTTTTAGTTGCCAAGTTGTCGGTAGTTGGGTTCAGCATTGTGCTACACAAGCACAATCACAATTAATCATGATCAGGCACATTAAGACACTATTGCGCGATGTTTGTCGCCATTACGACGTTATGACCTTTGTTTGTCCTGTTTCTACGTTTGATTTCACGCATAACGCGGGGTCTCGCAGTGAACGGGAATTGACCTACTACGGTGTTGCTAGTTTTGATTTTATCAAATGAAGTACTAGTTAAACCGACTAAATCATTTAATCTGAATTCTGGACCCGATTCCATCTAACAGCTAATCCGGGTAACAAAACGGATGCAAAGACATTTGTCATTTTATTTATTCTACAGCACCCAGCACATTATAGTGCACACCTTCCACCCATACGTTATTAATTAAAATTACATCACACATTTCTGTGTATTCAGTGATTTTTGATAACTTGTATCTGCTTGTAGGTCATAATGTTGTTGACGGTTTGTCTCCACATTACCTGGTCTAATGTCCGCCTGAAGTCCCGCAACTGTAAAATAAATTACGAATTAATATTTCCACCATTTTGTTCAGAATAGGTAGTCGTATACATGTTCTAGCAACTATTAGTCTCGATTGAGCATTTTCACCTTTAAAATTTTGGTTGTATTAAATCGAAAAACACTATATGCTCTTGATGCTAAGACAACGTTTACAACAACACTTACCCATTTCCTTCACCCCAACTTCTGTGAAATTCTGTATCACTTGTTGCATTCACACCTTCCGATGTAATCCTCTCAAATTCAGGACTTCCATTTGCATCGCCACATAAACCATGGATTTCATAGCATTCACTGTAAGGCTGGGTAACGTCGATATCTACTTTTTTGACCCCCCACTTGACGACAATGTCGTAATATCCGTCCAAGTCGAGATCCATTGTAACGTGATAAGAGTTGCCATGTTTGCTTAATAGGAACTGGTTGTAGGTACCATGGTAACCCGGAAAGTCGGCTTCATTTATTGGTGTTCCACTTGTAGGGGTTAGCTGAAAGTCAAAATCAAAATATAGATATTAGTGTGAACTGTTGTTCTTAACACTGAAAAGAAAGACATAGAAACGTCGTTGAACAAACATGTATTTAGCAATATCGATATATATAAATGTTACAAGTCCAGCCCTTTTAAAACTTCAAACAACATGCCTACCAGAAATGTCGGAGGGTTGATTCCGTCATTAGGTCCAATTTCCACAGTTTCACCCAATTGTTCAAGTATCAATGTTCCAACACGATAATGGTCTTTGGTTTTGTGCTCAGTTATTTTAACGTCTATTCGGAAGTCGTGCCCACAAGCCATGTGCATAAGGGAATAAAAAGCACAATCACCACCTTGATGATACTTGTATCCATCAAACGTTGAGAAACGTGGATCTCCATGTACTGTGCAAGTGACCGTCTCTGAGAGAAAAAAATACATATCTGCTATGAACAATCATGTCTAGCCATGACTCAATGATACATGAAATATACATGTTTCTCATAATGCAGTGTGGCACCACTACTTGATGGAACATTAACAGCACATGTTAAAGTTACCTTTTTATGGCTACGAATAATGCACCGGGATATATTGAATTGATAGGACTTCATAGCCACACATGATGTACATACTACCCACAATGCACCGGGATATATTGAATTGATAGGACTTCATAGCCACACATGATGTACATACTACCCACAATGCACCGGGATATATTGAATTGATAGGACTTCGTAGCCACATATGATGTATCCATTACCCACAATTCATTGGGACATATTGAATTGATAGGACTTCGTAGCCACATATGATGTACATACTACCCACAATGCACCGGGTTATATTGAATTGATAGGACTTCGTAGCCACATATGATGTATCCATTAGCCACAATTCATTGGGACATATTGAATTGATAGGACTTCGTAGCCACATATAATGTATCCATTACCCACAATTCATTGGGACATATTGAATTGATAGCACTTCGTAGCCACACATGATGTACATACTACCCACAATGCACCGGGATATATTGAATTGATAGGACTTCGTAGCCACATATGGTGTACCCATTACCCACAATGCATCGGGACATATTGAAGTGATATAACTTCGTAGCCACAAATGATGTACATATTACCCACAATACATTGCGACATATTCAATTGATGGAACTCCGTAGCCACAAACGGTGTGAATGATTACCCTGAATGCATTGCGACATAATGAATAAATAGGAATTCATAGTCACACATGATGTTCATATTACCCACAATGCATTGCGATGGGACGTCGTAGCCACAACCGATGTACAATGCCTTGTTAAACATTGATCGATATGTCCAAGTAGAAACATCCGATATACATAATTGCCCTAGCCTAGTTACATATTGAATTATCGGGATCATGCTGGCTGCACGTAATTACCCATGATACACTGTGAAATTGAATTATTAAGACTTCGTTGACACAGATGATATTTATGGCTACCCATAATATATCATGACATTGAATTGATAAAACTCCATAGCCACAGATGGTATATATGGTTACACTAAATACCTTGTGACAAATTGAACTGATGCAACTTCGTAGTCCCAGATGGTTTCCATGGTTAGTGTAACATATTGGTTTGATGGGACTCCATAGTTAAAGATCGTAAACACGATCAACCTAATGCATTGTGACGATTGAATTGACAGGACTTAATAGTCACATATGGGTATAACTTTACTCATAATGCGTGGTATAGTGAATTGATGGGGCTTTGTCGTCACAGATGGTGTCAAGGCATTGTGACACCTTGTTCCAAGATAATGTGAGGGGAAAAAGAATAATAATTAATAATAATTAGTTTGTAATTAATGTAATTCCACTGAAACTTACACATTTGATAATTTGTTTTATCATTGAATTATTGGGGTAATATCCCCAAAATGTCGCACACATTATGTCAATAATGTGCTAGCTTAATAGCAATGAGGTGTTATAATTGTTATTGTCAAAAGAACAATATAGACAACAAGCCGGTAGGCTGGTTGGCGATCTGCTCCGCTCAAAAAGCCAGCAAGATGTTTTCGGCTGTTGCCATGGTAGGACATGAACGTGAAGCTAATGTTCATTCAAACTTCGAATTTGCGTTTGGGATTATCTTGATACAGTGTAACTATATCGGCGCCGGTGATCTCTGTTAGTGTGCAAATTTGCCAAAATAAAAAGCATGATCATTTGAACACTACTATTACAAGTCCGGTAGAAGTTAAGGTAATACATTTGGGGCGCAAGTATTCAAAAATCAGTTTTTTGCGGTTAACATGGCAGTGATGGACAAGGAATTTTTTCCAATTAGTGACGGTACGACCAGCCTGCCAAGTATGAGCAAAATCAGCCAAGCCCAAAAAAAATCACAGAGGAGTTAAAAGCCGTTGCTGGTGTAAAGTTACTCTAAATTTGAGGTCAAATGTTTCGGTAATAAAAATAGACATCAAATAAACAAATTTTGTGTCCACATTCAACCTGAATAGAATGAGCCATGTCCGAGCTGTTTAATCCTATAATTGTAGGGCGAGATACATTTGACGCGAAGGTATTCAACAAATCAGTTTTTTACTGTTGCCGTGGAAACAGTGGACCAGAATTTGTATTCAGATTTTATCACCTAGCTAGAGTGAAGGTGTGACTTGCTTGCCAAGTTTGAACGAAATCAGCCCAGCCAAAAAAAAATCACAGAAGAGTTCAAAAGCCATTCCTGGTGAACAGTTACCCCAAATTTGGGGTCAAATTTCTCGCTATTGGAAAAGATATCAAAAATTTAATTAGTAACTTTATGCCCACACTCAAGCTGAGTAGAATTAGCTATGTCTGAGGTGTTTTATCCTGAATTTATAGGAGGAGATACTATCTAAAAATCAGTTTTGTGGCTGCTGCTATGGCAACAGTGGGCCATTTTTTTTACAGATTTGTTCGAATGACTAGGGTGATGGTGTTGTCTACCTGCCATGTTTGAGCGGAATTGGCCAAGCCAAAAACAATCACAGAATAATTAATAAGTGAAAAAACTGGAAATCACACAGACACACACAAAAGTGATTTTAAGGGCAATCCTAGCGGAGCGGATCGCCAATATGTGTATACAGGCCAAAATAGTTATTCAGATGAAAATGAAAAGTCCTAAATAACATGTTCAATGCTGAAGTCCATGTAGTTTGTGATAACATAACTCTTGGTTGATCAGTTGCCGATACTCAAAATTGTGAATATTTGTTGAGACGAATGATTAATCTCGTTTAAAATTTCTACAATCTGAGAAACAACACTTAACCATTTGTATAACGACTTGATCTCACATTTTCAGACTGTTATTTAGATTTTTCCGCGTTAAGCTTTTCTTTCATGTATATTCATGTTATTGTGAGCGGTCGAATGCTCTACTATAGAGAAGTGTGGATTGTGATTCGAAAAGTCTCTACTAGAAAGCCGCTATATATTCTGAATGTTTGTGCGATGCTGATAACGTTGGGTGCATGGGAATGAATATGTTTTAGGGTAGAGATGCAGTTTATCTGACAGGTATTTTAATTAGTTGATTAGGAAACCAAGATGACCTCTCTTGTCCACAAAACTATATATTTTCAGAAAGCTTATTGTATGAATTTTAAAATGTTTTTTATGGACACTGTAGTTTGAAATATGCAATATGCACAAAAATGTGCTTTTTTGGTCAAAAGTGATTTAAAGAAATTAGCTCCTAAACCACGCTTCTGTTTCCTGTCAAAATTAGTTGATGGGTACATCTGTTTACTATGAAAAAAGTGCCGTCTTGAAAACTGTCTACCAGTTGTCAATTTTGAAGGGCAGCAGCCCAAATTTCACTTCTTCAAGTTTATGCATAAGTTAACACCCATGCTAGTTGTGTTTACGATTGTAACACTGTTCAACCAAAAACAATGCCCCGACGGCGTTTTGAAGATAAACAAAAGGTCAAAGCTAGGAGCTATTTTTTTTTAAAATTCTGGGATGTGCACTAAAAAGAAGCTGAGATAATTCTAATTTGCACAACAATTCACTCAGTAAGAAGTTTGCTAATGCTCATAATTAAAAAAGGCTGTAAAGTTCTAAATTTAAATGTAATATCGTTTTGTTAAAAGTCAAATATAGTGCATATTATGGAGATCCCGTCATTTCTTGTTTTCACCATGTTTCTTTTTGATTATTTATGTACAGCCTTTCTAAATCTTGCTAAGCATTTAAAAGATAGAATGTTTGCACCTGTTATCTATATTTTAAAATCGTGTTTTGAGTATATTCCACTATTCACAATTCTACAAAATTTTAACAGTCTTTAGCCAAGACTGTTAAAATTTCACTCCCAAGTGCCCACGAACCTGCATCTCTAACTTAAGTAGCATGTTATATACATCATAATAATCATTATATTATATTATGTTCTTTAAAATTTTTACAGAAGAAAAAAAAAATTATATTTACTTCGTGGTGGTGGGCAATAATACCCTTGGGTGATAGTGTTGTTATCACAGCAATATCGACACTTGGTCTTCACGTATATTGGCGCTACATCACATTCATTAAAATGTGGTTCATTTTCGGATTCTTCGATACAAGCCTGAAAGTAAAAATGGACGAATAAATAATCATGGGAATTTGGTTCATTTTCTCTTTCTTTTATATAAGCTTCATATTTTGTATTTATACAAGAACTGTAATCATTATACAGTGACATTCAACATATCAAGTATTGATATATATTAGAATAACATTGTTAACAATATTTGACTCGTAAATCAGTCAATATTAAATATACGATATGGTACTTTACTAAACTACATTTTTCTCTGAATCCAATATGACAATAAGAGTTTACTTGCGAATAGAGGTGTGTAATGTAAAAATATGGTGTCACAAAAACTTATAATTACAGTTTCTACTCTACTCTACTCTACTCTACTCTACTCTACTCTACTCTACTCTACTCTACTCTACTCTACTCTACTCTACTCTACTCTACTCTACTCTACTCTACTCTACTCTACTCTACTCTACACTCTACTCTACTCTACTCTACTCTACTCTACTCTACTCTACTCTACTCTACTCTACTCTACTCTACTCTATTCTATTCTATTCTATTCTATTCTATTCTATTCTATTCTATTCTATTCTATTCTATTCCACTATTTTATTCTATTCCACTATTTTGTCTATTCATATTAAAATCCTTATAACATTATTCAGAACTGTTCGGAAATATTTAGAGAACAAATTGTAATTAAACTCCAGCTCAAACCAAACACATAAATATAATTACAAGACCG